CTTCCCATGAGCAGACAAGAAAACTAAGGAGTGTTGGGCCTCACATTCAGGCTGGCAGCTGGCAGGAAACACGACAGAGCTTCTGCCCCCTGGAGTCAGTCCTATAACCTCCCGTGGTGAAGGCAGCAGGCAGGGAACAGCAAGAGCAGAAGCCATGATCCCAGGAGGAAGCATGTGCCTGGGGCCCAGGGCCGTGGAACAGCTGTGACACTGTATTCAGCCAACAGGCCACTGGCAGAGCGCACACCAGACCCTTGCTCTGAGCACTCGAAGCCTATACTGCCCAGGGCAGAGACCACTGGCCACAAGTGGTTACTGGCCACTGGAAATGTGACTAGTCCTTCAAACTGGGACACACAGTTAGAGTGAAATACATACTGGACTTGGAAGACTTAGTATGAAATAAATGAATATAAATGTTAATATTTTAAAATACTAAAGTCAAAGTGTTAGTTGCTCAGTGATGTCTGACTCTTTGCAATCCCATGAACTGTAGCCCACCAGGCTCCTTTGTCCATGGGATTTCCCAGGCAAGAATACTAGAGTGGGCTGCCATTCTCTTCTCCAAGGGACCTTCCCGACTCAGGGATCAAACCCAGGTCTGCAGCGTTGGAGGCAGATTTTTTGACCATCTGAGCCACCAGGGATGCCCCTTTAAAATGGATACTGTGTATATATGTGGTGTTAAATAGATTATATTACTGAAGTTAATTTCACTCATTTCTTTTTTGCCTTTTTAAATATGGTGACTAGAGAAGTGTGTAAATTACACGTGGGTCTCACGTTTACAATTCTATTGGAAGGAACCCCTGTAAACAAAGCATCTGCCTAATCTTTAGCACAGCCCCGTGGTGGTGCTAGTCTCAGTTCCCTTTTAAGGCCCTGAGGGGTTGAGAAACCAGCTCAAAGACACACAGCCAGCAAGAAGAGGGGGAAAAACCAAAAACCAAGGGACTATAGGAGTGGTAGCAAAATGATGAGTATGGCTTGAACTAGGACAGTGGCAGGGAGAGAGGGAAAATGAGCAGATGGGGCGCCTTTCTTAGGTAGAAACACTCGCCACCATGAGGCGTGTGTGAGGAGGAAAGGGTGACCCAGGGTTCTGGTCTGAGGTCTAGAAGCATTTGGGTCACAGGACCTGAGTGACACAGGGAAAGAAGCACCAATGTAACATTCAATCCCAACTTTTCCATTTACTCACTGTCTTATCTGGACGTTATGTTACCTCGTGGGACTCAATTTCCGCAGCTGGAAAACAGGAATAAAATAATAGAACCTCTCATAGCAGAGTTGTCATGAAAAGGGAACAGGAAGGTGTGTAGAAAAGCACTGCATTCATGTTTGTTGGTTAATTGTTTAAAAAGAGAGAGAGGTTTCAGGGACCTAAAACATTCCTGTCATCCCCTCTCCTGTCATTTCCCAGGCTTCCTGACCAGTGACTAGGCCCCAGGCCACCTCCCCTGGGAAGCACATGCTAGAGAGCACCAGTGGAATGGCTTCTGTCTCCCAGGGAGGCTGCCTAACTAGGGTCACAGCCCCTTTCTCACCCAAGAAGCTAGGCCAGGGCCACAAAGCCGAACAAACTCTCACAGTGTCAGGTCAGCCCTGGGAAGAAATCCAAGGGGTGGGACCCATCTAGGCCCTCTTCTTCCCCTCCACTGACCACCGCCCCCCCTCCCAAAGGTCAGGATTTCTGGTGCACAGGCCCACAGATGCTCAGTGACATAATTTCAGGGGCAAATTCAACTCCCTCTCAGAGACTGTCTTTACTGTGCCAAGACAGAACCCTCCATCCTGTCCAAGGCCACTATATTCTAGGAGAATGGTACCCCTTGGAGTTGTGCAGCAAGACCTCTGCGAATTAAGGTCATGCTTAGGGCTTCCCTGGTGGCTCAGAGGTTAAAGCGTCTGCCTGCAATGCGGGAGACCTGGGTTTGATCCCTGGGTTGGGAAGATCCCCTGGAGAAGGAAATGGCAACCCACTCCAGTATTCTTGCCTGGAGAATCCCATGAATGAAGGAACCTGGTGGGCTACAGTCCATGGGGTTGCAAAGAGTCGGACACAACTGAGCGACTTCACTTTAGTCCTGCAAAGCCCAGATACAAATCTGAGAGACGGATGAGGGTGTTTTGAGAGTTCTCTCTGTCCCTTTCTGTAATCCCAGGCAGGCGCCTTCCCTGAGTCCTCCTCTTCCTTACATACTATAGTCCCAGATGGAAGGAGATCTGAACTGAATGAGGGGTCCTTCTGCCATCCTGCCCTTCCCTTGAACCTGACCTTGGCATACTCAGTTCACATTCCTATCTGTCACTTTCTATTATATTGAGCAGGGTAGATCCTACTCTAGTCTGGTTTGTGGTGCTTAATAAATATTTGTTGTCGAATGAATGAATGAATGAGTAAGTCTGTCTCTGCTGAGATCTCTACCAATAATTGTTTGCCACAGAGATCGTTGTATTATAAGGGCAGGTTCTTTTTTTTTTTTCTTAACATATATATTTTTTTATTGAAGTATAGTTGACTTACAATGTTTCAGGTGCACAACAAAGTGACTCGGTTATACATATACACATATATTATTTTTGATATTATTTTTCATTACAGGTTATTACAAGATAACGACTATAGTTCCCTGCACGGTACAGTAAACTTTTGTCGCTTGTTGCATCTTTTTAAAATTAGAAATATAGCATTCTATTCATACTAAGTCAAACAAGTAGAATCAAAATGTCATAAATTTTTTAGTTAGGCAAAAATTCCTAAATTTTCTAAAATATATATATATTTATTATGTATGTATATGTATAGAAAAGCTTTTCTACTATGCTTGATAAAGGCCTCAGAAAGAACATGAAAAAAAAAAAGAGAGATGGAGAAGTTGGAAAACATAAATGAAATGAAATGGGAGCACTGAATATGAAATAGAAAAAGTGAAACAAACTAGATAAAAGTAAAAGATCATTATATAGTCCAGTTATTTTTAAACATAACAACAGCAGTTTCTTTCAAACCAAAACAACTTCAAGAGCCAAAGGACTGACCACTCTACTGTGGTGTACCCGTTGTGACCTTGGGGAAAAAGAACTTTTTCAATCCCTTTCAGATGATACAAGTAGGCAACAACCTGCTGCTAACACTTGCCCCAGCTTCCCCATGAATGGTTTCAGGTGGACTGGACAAAGCCCTGGGAGAGAACTTTCCAGCTGTATTCCCTGGCAGAATTCTCTGTAACAAGGCTGACTTTTGTCATATCTTCACCCAACTTCTGTATCCAGGCCTGGGATATCAGGGCCACACTTTCCACACCTTCTGAAGGATCCTCACCTCCTGATTAGTCTTCACAGAGCTTTTCCACATCTCCTATTTTTGACCCTTTGTGAATCATTTCTCATCAGGACTGAAGTCTAGGGTGAGATGATTAAGGTACTCCCCACAAGGTATAAAATTTAAGGGGGCACCAAAAACCTCAGTAATTTTAAGATTAATAATATTCATATTAATCATTTTAGAAAATCAGAACTAATGCAAAATAATCTATGATGAACAAAATATCAGAAAACATTTTAATGATATTAAATATTATTTATCTTGTTCATTGAGTTTCTTGGCACTCCCTTAAAGTGTGTACTGAGGCGAGTACCTCACTCAGTCAGGCTAGTTTCAGTCCCAGAAGAGTGGAGTGCACCAACTTCAGCTCTCCGTCTCTAACTGCTGTTGGCTTCAGCCTAGACTTTAACTAGTGAGAACCAGCTTGAAGGAGATCGGTAAGTTGGTGATTGGTCTAAAGCCCAATACGTCTGTCAGAAAGCCAGGGAAACAGGTAGGCAGGGGGCCAAGTCTATTGTTCCAAAGTTTCCACAGGCCTTGAATGGCCCTTGGGCTCTGCAGTCTGGTGATCAGAGGTGTAAAGATTTCTGAACAATTCCAGGCCTTTGATATGGTTGCCAACACCCATATTTTTCATCCTGGGAACAATGCCACAGAGGGTCACAGCCTCCCTCCCCCACCTAAGTGAGGAAGTGTCTGCTGGTGGTGGGTGGGGACAGGTCCTATGAGGGCAAAGTTCAGAAGGACAGAGGAGTCTTTCTTATCCTGACTGCCTGTTCCCTCTGGTACACACTGACCTCCCCACCCTTTTGCACTTTCAAAACCTGTGCTTGTCTTATTCCTCTGTTCCCCTTGGTCAAACCAAACACATCTCTGCTCCTCCCTATGGAGGAGTAGCCCCAATACTTCCCAGCATGTAAACATTTCCTTTCGCTGGTTTAGAGCTTGGCTCTGGCTCTATTCTCGTGTCCCAACCCCACAGCAATTTATTTTTTCAAAAAATGCAAGAGAGTGAGCTATCTTGTTATGGAAGCAGGGAGACACAACCTCAGGTTCCTCTAATTAAGCCTTTAGAACTCCTCTGAAGAACTGGGGTATCAAATTCATCAACAAAGTCCTTTCTGGGGAGGCACCATCTGGGTGGGGATGCCCGGATCCCCGCCCCCGCCAAAAGGAGGTATCTGTGCTAATTTGACTGCTGTTTTGGAGGAATGCAGGTGAAGGAGAGGTAGTTTCCACTAGGCAAAATGTTTTTTCCACTTCCTGTTCTTTGCTATTTTGCTGTCTTCCGGTGTTAAACCACCAGAGTTTCGGAATCAGATGAAACACAGTGTAGGCCTGCCATATGGCCTCATCCCCCCAGAACCTGGTGACTCAACGAGATTTCACGGTGCCATTGAAAGCACAGGCTTTTGCAATGGCAGAACTCACTGTCCCAAACCAGGCTTTAATCCTGGCTCTCTTGACGTTTTTCTTCCTAATGCTGACCTGATGTATATGTGCATGTTTTTCAGTCCCCACAACTTCCTAGGAATGACTAGGGAGTCATCATCTGGCCCTTGTGAGGAAGCAAGGAAATGCAGCAGGGTGGGGGAAGCCCCTTCAACGACAGCCCGACGACAGCAGATCCGGCTCTCAGGACCGGAAGTGTGGGCGTGAGTTATGTTGCCGCGCAACCAAAGGCAACCGAGCAGCAAACCTCAGAAGGCAGAGCCGGTTACGGAGGGGGAATCTCAAGCACCTAGTGTCCCCCAGAGACTGGGCCCAGCTCGATCAAAGGAAAAGTCAGCCTCCAAGAGTCCACAATGACGCAGAGGAAGCCAGGGGAAACAGTCAGTGGCGAGTCACCATTGATTCACAGTCTGAACGGTAGAGCAGGACCAAGCTGCAACCCGCAGCCTCTCGTAACCCTCGCTTTACTGATAAAGGAACGGGAAGCAGGAAAGTTAACCAATCCGAGTCCCACTGCCAGCGTCAGAGCCAGAACCACCGCTCTCTGGCCTTCTGTTTGTATAGCTTTTAACAGTTTGCAGACTTTCTCACGTGCTTTAGTTTCTTCTGATCCTGAACTGAAAGCAAATATTTATCCTTCAAGGGAGAGGCCAAATGAGGACTGCTTCGTTTCCTCATCTGAGAGGATAAGAGTACTTTCTTAATGGAAGTCTTACTAGAATTAAATGGGTTGATAATGTTGGGGTTTCAAGAGGATATAATAAAGGACACCCCTCATCCATTACAAAGCTCTGAGTAGTTAAGGAATGGACGTGAACAAGTCAAATAAATGGAATCAAAATATCAACTTTACTCTCATAGGTTTTATATTGAAGTCAGTGGTTTGTATGTGTGGGTAAGTGAACCCCAGAATTAGGCAAGGTACCACTTGGCCGGGGCAGGCCGCCCAGTTGTGAACTGTCCCTGAAAACCAGGCATTAGGAGAGAAGAGAACCAACAGGGGTTCTGGAGGAGACCTGCTGCGGAAAGAAAGAAGAAAGAGGCTTCCTACCCACGTACTCACCACGGAGAAACTGCTTCTCCTCCCCTTCCGTGGCCTCCTGTCCCTCTCCGCTCCTCGGGACGAGTGAGTCAAGGAAAAAGGAGAGGTCAGAAATTTTATGCCAGAAGTGCTTCTTCTGCCCTGTGGAAGGAAATATCAGGGGTGAGGAAGAATTTTTTTTCCACCCTAGAAGCCCCATAAATATGCATAAACACATAGTACTTGGTACAATAGTAAGAGCTCAGTAAAACTTAGCTGTTACTATTATTTTTCTAGTTATAGCCAATTAGTCATAGTAGAGACTGCCTTACCTGCCCCAGTCTGATTTCTCTAATTGTGTCTGCCCTTATTAGATGTGTGACCTTGGCGTGTTATTTAATATCTCTAAACCTCAGTGTGCTCCTCATAACAGTACTGTTGTTTAATCTCGTCATGTCCGACTCTTTAGAAACCCTATGGACTGTAGCCTGCCAGGCTCCTCTGTCCATGGGATTTCCCAGGCAGGAATACTGGAGTGGGTATCCTTTTCTTTCTCCAGGGGATCTTCCTAACTCAGGGATTGAACCCACATCTCCTGTATTGGCAGGTGAATTCTTTACCACTGAGCCACCTGAGAAACCCAATAATAATAGTACCTACCTTATAATTGGAGGTAACTACATGATTTAAGTGGAAAAGACTTAGCACGATGCCTGGAGCATATTTAATATTCAATGAATGATGATTGTTGCTCTTATAAAAAGAATTTGGGAGTCCAGAGCAAAATAAATGTGAAATTAAGACTGAGACATGGTTGATTTAGAAGAGGCATGTAAAGGAAAGCCTTACTGCTATCCATTAAAATTAGAGCATTTGCTCCCATTGGATCTACAATCTGTCCACCTGAGAGCGAAGCCTTGAAAGTACTGCCAAACCTTTTGGGCCTTTTCCCATCACTTTCTGGGCTTCCCTTGTGGCTCAGATGGTAAAGAATCTGCCTGTAATGTGGGAAACCTGGGTTGGAAAGATCCCTGGAGAAGGGAATGGCAACCCACTCCAGTATTCTTGCTTGGAGAATCCCATGGATGGAGGAGCCTGGTGGGCTACAGTCCATGGGGTTGCAAAGCTCAGACATGACTGAAATGACTGAGCATGCCATCACTTTCATACAAAGAGGAGAAAGTCTCAGTCTGGTGTTAACCTTGGGAAGATGACGATATTCTTTTTTTTCTTTTTTTGTGTGTGTGTGTGATAAAGTTTTATTAAAGTATAAAGGAGATAGAGAAAGCTTCTGACACAGGCATCAGAAGGGGGCAGAAAGAGTAGTCTTCTGCTAGTCTTCATCCTGCTAGTCTTCGGCTGAATGTTATATAGCCACTGCTACTGCTGCTAAGTCACTTCAGTCGTGTCCGACTCTGTGCGACCCCATAGACGGCAGCCCACCAGGCTCCACCGTCCCTGGGATTCTCCAGGCAAGAACACTGGAGTGGGTTGCCATTTCCTTCTCCAGATGACGATATTCTTGAAGCTGTGAGCTACTTGGGAAGGATAACTAAGTTCTGTTTTTTGTGTGGACCAAAATGGCTTGAGCCAGTCACAGAACCTAAGGACCTCTGTCTGAGCTCCAGGAAAATAGATAATGAGGTCGTCTGGTTCACTACTTTGTCCTTAGCACCTAGCATGATGTGTGACACATAGCACTGAGCCATTAAATATTTACCGAATAAGTGAAGGCAGATTGTTCTCCACATCAGCAGTGGGGAGATGGTACCTGAGATATGGTCTGACTCCTCATCTAGATGTAAGGAATGCTGAACCAGAAGCATTCCTACAACCCCTGACTTTGGTCTTGCTTAGGGCAGGAAGGAGGGAGGGAGGGCGAGGAGACTAAGTTGCTAAATAGTAAGTAACCCACAGAACTAAAAATTGCTGCTTTTTTCCTTCAGACACCCAATGAGTATTATTTTGAATATAGAATTTTGAGTTATTCATGCTAAGGATTTCCTATGCCAAATAAGGTAAGAAAGAATGAAAGATGGAATATTTTAGCAATCAGGGTAAACAGTAACTCAGTTTGAGACAGGGGTGGACATAGGATGTTGGCAGAGTTAATCAGATTTTATCCTAAAGTCTCAGGCAGCCGAAGAAGCTACTTTATGTAATAGCGCAAGACTGAAAACAACACCCATGTCCACCTAGAAAGGAGTCTATGCAAATGGAGTACTGTGCAGCTGTAGAAAAGAAGTGGCTCTGTATATTCACATGATCTCTGGAATATATTGTTAAATGAAAAACACAAGATGTGCAACAGCATGTCGAGTATACTAGTATTATCTGAAGAAGGGAAATACAGCTACTTATATGTATGGAATATAAACCAAACACTAGGAAAACTGGTTATCTTCAAGGAGAAGGGGGTTGAGTGAAGAGGAGAAAATTACACAGAAGACTTGACTTCTCTCAGTGTTCTTTAGTTTGTAGGGTTGACTTTGGAACCATGTCTATGTTTTAAATATTATAAAGCAAACATTTTACAAGATGGGTTAAAAAAAGAAATTCCTAAAGATTGAGAGCAAATGAATCTGTGTATTGAATTAGTGGCAACTATACAGAAAGGAATTATTTCTAATAACTTTATAATATAGTAAGCTAACTCTGTCCCTACTGTGATAGATCCTAAAGATAAAAGGAACTGTGTCATAGTTTGCCAGGGCTGCTGTGAAAAAATACTGTAGGCTGGGTGGCTTACACAACAGAAGTTTCCTACCTCACAGTTCTAGAAGCTAGAAGTCCAAGCTCAAGGGCTCAGCAGGATTGGTTTCTTCTGAGGCTCCTCTCCTTGGCATGTAGATGGCTATTTTCTCCGAGTCTTCACACAGTCTTCTGTGCAGTCTCTGTCTTAATCTCCTCTTCTTATAACACCACCAGCCATAGGATTAGGACCCGCCCTAATGAATTCAACCTTAATTACCCCTTTGAAGACCCTATCTCCAGATATTGTCACTTTCTGAGGTATTTCAGCATATAAATTTGGAGGCACACAGTTCAGCCCATAACAGACTATAAAGAAATTTAAAACTATATTCCATGTGCAGTGGTAATATTGGTATTGGGGTATGTGTATAGTTTTTAGCCTGAGCTAAGCCCCTAGACACCTTGAAGCAAAGGTAAACTGTACCTGTTTTCCTTTCCAAATTCCTGACCCCAAACATCATGAGCAAAATTTAAAAGTTAAGAGGTACAATGGGGTGTGGGAGGTGGGAGAGAGGTTCAAGAGTGAGGGGACAAAAAAAAAAAAGAGTGAGGGGACATATGTGTATCTATAGCTGATTCGTGTTGATATATGGCAGAAAGCAACACAACATTGTAAAGCAATTATCCTCCTATTAAAAATAAATTAGTTAAAAAAAAGTAGTTATTTAAGCTGCTGAGCTAAGTTATATATTTTTTATGCAACAATAGTAACCAAAAGAGAAGCCTTTTTGTCCTCATCCCCTACCAAGAAAAGCAGTTTTCGGGCAGGTGGTGGGGCCTGAATTTTATCAACCTTCTAGATAGATATCATTCTACCTACCATTTTGCAGGATTAGGGAACACATTAGGGGAACATGATGTCACAAAAATATAATCAGGAAAGTCCAGAATGTGGAAATCTCTACAGGACAAATAAACTGGCTTTTTCAACAACACAAACAAAAAGTTGCAAGAAGAGAAAAAGAAGGGAAATTTGGTGGTTAAAAAACTTGAAAGACAGATCAAGAGGTAAATTCGCCTTGAGGGCATTGGGTCCTGATTCAGACAGACAAAAACAAAAATATTATTTATGATACAATTGGAAAAATTTGAATACTAACTGGATATTTTATGGTATTAAAATTATAGTTAATCTTCTCAAGCTTGATAGTGTTATTGTAATTATATTTTGTCCTATTTTCTTTGAAGGGTCTTTATCCTAAAGAGATAGATGCTGAAGAAAATGGATGAAATGAGGTAAGGTGTGGGGTTTTTGTTAAAGTAATTGTGTATGTTGTGGAATCTGGGGGTACATGGAGTGGAAGGATATAGTTGAAACATGATAGGTCATAGATTGGTAATGTTTTAAGCAGGATGATGAGTGTATAGGAGCTTATTTTATGGTTTTGTGTTTGAAAATGTCCAGTAATGAAGTGTTGTTGATGTTGTTGTTGCTTTTTTATTTGAGCAGAAAACTGTCCTTCAAAATGTTTGAAAGTATAATTCATTGAACAAGCATTTCATTCAATATTAATTGAACACTTACTGTGTGCCAGGTACTCAGTTAAACTGGGAGGCTGTGGATGTGGATTGGTCATGCCAATCCACAAAGAGGCAAAGGAACTGCCTCTTTGAATCTAGTTTATGGTCTAGTGGCAAAGAAAGCCTGTACACAAATGAAATATAGGACAAAAAACATGCTAAGTATTACAAAAAGGAATAGACTGTCTAGAACAGTTTCAAAAACATTTATCTTTACCGAATCCATCCCCACCCAACCATGACTTAGATGCTTGACTCAGCATTTACATATGAGTGTTCCAAGGCCTAGCATAATATAAATTTGAATGTGTATAGAAAATGTGACCTCAAACTATTTGAAAAACTCTGTGTTATGATATGACTGCAGCTTTTCCAGCATTACAGAGCAGGGGAAACTCCATGTATCTACTTCATGCTTATCTTTGTCAGCTAGGGTTACCACAGCAAAATACCATAGATGGGGTGGCTGAAACAATATTTATTTCTCACTGTTGTGGAGGCTGAAAGTCCAAGATCAAGGTGTCAGCAGATTCAGTTCCTAATGATTGCCTTCTTCCTTGCTCAAAAATAGCAGCCTTCTGACTGTGTCCTTACATGGAGAGAAAGCGTGAGGGCCTGGATGTCTCTTCTCTAATCCCATCATGAGGGCCCCAGTCTCAATGCTGCCACCTTAAACTAATGATCTCTTAGAGATTTCATTTCCAAATATCATCACAGGAGTTAGGGCTTCAGCATAGCCATATGGAAGGGAAACAGTCCATAGCAGCAATCTACTTCAGTGTATCTTCAAGGTACAATCCACAGACCCAGCTATAATACCATGACCTGTTGAGCTTTTAAAAATATTCGATATCAGAAATCTTGCCCCAGATTCAGTAGGTCTAAGTTGAGCCCCGGCACCTGACTTTTTAATAACCTCCTAGTAACTATCTCAAGCATCCTAGATGAGAACCACTAACTTGGAAATGGACATTAGTGGTGCCCACATGTTGGGGGAGGGGCAACTAAAACATTAAATTTCATAAGGTCAGTATTTCCATCCCCCAATTTGTACTTTCTAAGTTTTTAAAATTAATTTTTATTGGAATATAGTTGCTTTACAATGTTGTATTAGTTTCTACTGTACAAGAAAGTGAATCAGTTATACATATATTCACTCTTTTTAATTTTATTTTTTAAATTAATTTTTATTGAAATATAGTTGATTTACAGTGTTGTGTTAGCTTCTGCTGTATCTGCAGAGTGAATTGTTTATAATATACATATATCCAATCTTTTTTAGACTCTTTTCCAATATAGGTCATTACAGTGCTCACAGTAGGTTCTTATTAGTAATTTATTTTATATATAATAGTGTGTATATGTCAATCCCAGTCTCCCAATTTAATCCCTATTCCCCGCCCCCATTTTCCCCCTTGGTGACCATAAATTTGTTTATACATCTGTGACTCTATTTCTGTTTTGTAAATAGGTTCATTTGTACCAGTTTTTTAGATTCCACATACAAACAATATCATATGATATTTGTCTTTCTCTGTCTGACTTACTTCACTCACTATGACGACCTCTAGGTCCATCCGTGTTGCTGCAAATGGCATTCTTTTGTTCTTTCTTATAACTGAGTAATATCCCATCATATACACGGACCACATCTTCTTTACCATTGCTTTGTAATGGGCGTTTAGGTAGGTTCCGTGTCCTGGCTATTGTAAATAGTGCTGCAGTGAACACTGGGTGCCTGTATCTTTTTGAATTATGGTTTTCGCCTCATATATGCCCGGGAGTGGGATTGCTGGATCATATGGTAGTTTTAGGCTTTGTTTGTTTGTTTGTTTGTTTTACTATTCCCGAGCTTTGCTTTTTCCTTTGACCCTTAATGATTTTTATTTTTTGACGTTTATTTACTCATTTGGTTGTGCTGGGTCTCCGCTGCGCCTCTCAGGATGTCATTCCGGTGCGGCCTTCTCTCTCCTTGTGGCGCACGGGTTCTGCAATTGGAGCTCAGGGTCTGGACTTGCAGTGTCCAGGCTCAACTGCCCTTTGGTGTGTGGGATCTTAGTTCCCCGACTGGGGATTGAAATCATGTCCCCTACATTGCAAGGCAGATTCTTAACCACTGGAGCACCAGGGAAGTCCCATTTTTAGGTTTTTAAGAAACCTGCATACTGTTATTAGCAGTATGCAGGTTTCTTAAATTAGCGACTGTCCAATTTACATTCCCACCAACAGTGTAGGAGGGTCCCCTTTTCTCCACACCCTCTCCAGCATATATTGCTTGTATATTTTTTTAATGGTAGCCATTCTGACAGTGTGAGGTGGTACTTTATTGTAAGTTTAGATTTGCACTTCTCTGATAATTAGTGATGATGTTGAGCATCTTTTCATGTGCCTCTTGGCCATCTGTATGTCTTCTTTGAAGAAATATCTATTTAGATCTTTTGCCCATTTTTTGGTTAGTCCAGCTTGTATCTGCATTATTTTCTTTGGCTGCAGCACTTCAGAAAGCAGCATGACCTTTTGGGTTGTTTTTTTTTTTTTTTCCTTCCCAGAATGAGAAAACTCTTCTTCAACACAGGACCTTTGCATTTTCTTTCCTTGCATTTCAACTTCATTTAACACGTTTGCACCCAGCCAAGAAAAATAAAATTTTCTAGACTGTTTCAAGGGATTACACACATGATTTATTAAAATATACATTCCTTGTAAAACCGTAATTTTGCTTTCAGTTCACTAAAATGTGCAACACATTTCATGGGATTAATTTCTAAAACACTTTGGGTCTTGGAATGGGTTTCAAGATGCTACAACTAACTATTGATTAGTCGCAAACTGATTTGCTTAATTTGTCGAAAATTTTGCTTCTTCTGCCTTGTGTCACCATTGCCTGCCTGAGTGTGGGTTCTTGGCTTCAAACCACCAGCCTAAAGTGATAGAGTTCCCTGTCCCATGTGTGCTGGGCACAGTGAATGCCAGCACAGAAGGAAAATACATACCCCCCGCCTTCAAGATTAAAATGCAGAAGGGGAGAGGAGAAATCACAAGGGATTATAAAAACAGTGTAAGGCAGTTTATAAAGTAACGGCCATGTTCCAAAGTTTTCCTTGTTTAGATTCCTTTTAGAATGTATTTGTCTGCCAGCTTAATTGACTAGATAAGCTGAGTAATTTGTTTTCTTCATTCCTCTGACCAAGCATGGGCTCTCAGGGAAGGCAAGCTGTCATTTTCCAAAGGCCTATGAAAATAACTTGAGCTTTGTATAAATTTGCATGAAAGAGAGGGAATAGCCATGATCTTCTGTCTCTGAAACCTTTGCACAAAGCTTAGGCATCATTGGAGTTCTTTATTGAGAGGATTTGACTCCCAGGCCATGTTTGGAATGAGCTGTGGTCAGGAACATGCTCCACCCTCCTCCCCTTTCTTTCTCACTTCGGTCATTGCTGTTATGTAAACTCCGTCATTCTTTCCCTTCAAGCTCAAGTTTGCTCATCTGGCCAGTACCTTTTTCCAATGGACCAGCCTTCTGTAACCTCTACAAGGAGCTTTGTCACAAACATGGGTCCTGATTAGCCTCATGAACTGGCTGAAGGATCCTTAAACTCTTAGGTTTAAGAACTCATTTCTTTTTAAGCCACATTTTATAATTCTCAGACTCTGAGAATGGAAAATCATACCACAGGCCTTAGAGACAGGCGATTGAGAGCTGGCTAATAATGAGTGTTTCCTTTGTTTTGAATAGCTAGCTGTTCTCACCATTTCAGAGCACTGACTGACTCCAGTTCTCGGCACTTCCTTCTTGGAACCTGCCAAATGCACCGCATTGTGGGGCAGCATGCTCTGGATCTTTGGTCCTGGGGGTCTGGCTCTGATACTGTACACGTTTGATTTTACACCCTCTGTGTCCACGTCTTATTCAGTCAGGACATAGAGATAAAATGCCTATTTCATATTTACTTATTTCTCCTTGGGAAGAGAATTACAAGAGCTAAGAGAGCTAATTTCCCAAGAAACACATCTTAAAGGGTACAGCTGGACTCCAGGAAATTCGCCACCTGGCCTGCCGGACAGAACTGTTCAGCAGGCTCTTCATGTGATCACAAGTGCCTTGTCTACTAAACACCCCTTGAGATTTCCTTTGACTGTAAGTCAGACTGACACGGAATCCAGGATTTCTGCCTGCTTAGGGCTGCTAGAAATTCAGAATCTGACTTTCTTACTGCTTAGATACTTATTTGCCTGTTGTACTGAGATGAACAATGTGACCGGTATCTCTGGGAAGTGAGGGCTTGGTCTAATTATCATGACAAGATCTAAGCTAATTTTATGTTTGTGAAAATTGGTCATAACCACATATTATATGATTCCATTTAATGAAATGTCCAGAATAGGTAAATCCATAAGGTACAAGAAGTAGATTAGTGGCTGCCTAGGATCTGGGAATTTTGCAGGGAGAGAAGCAATCAGAGTGGCTGTTTATGGGTATGGGGTTTGTTTAGGGGATGATGAAATATTCCAAAATTCTTTGTGGTGATGGTTGCACAACTCTGTGATTATACTAAAAACCATTGAGTCATACATGTTAAATGGGTGAATGGTATGAAATGTGAATTGTATCTCAATAAAACAGGAAATACACAGGCAGCATCAGGGAGGGTGTGTACACAAACTTATTCCAGCGAAGGAGACAAGTCACCATCCGTCCCTGTAGGAGTAGTCTG